TGTTTATTCGTGTTTGAGCTGAGAAGATGTACACTATTTTTCTTAAAAAATCACTGCTAATTGTGGTGCTTCAGCTCTAGAGCTGAAGTTCGCCAGTTACAAAAATAAAAACTTCAGCTCTAGAGCTGATGTTAGCGAGTTAAAAAACAAAAAAGCTCTAGAGCTGAACTTCAGGTCCGACTACTAGAATGCTGATGTTTTGCGTGATTGCCTTTGCCACTTCAGTCTCGTATGTTGAAGTCATGCGAAAAAGTGGGTACGCTTGCAATTATTTTTACAAATCAGACACAAGTTAAAACGTGACACAAAAAACGGGTATAGATGCAAATGCCCCAAAATTACCTAGCACTTCAAAAGTTGAATAATTAACCCAAATACCCGTCCACCTAACCTCTTAAATTAAAAATAAAAATATATTCCGATTAAAAAAAGCATACAGTGAATCTGAATCTGAATCTGACTGGCTATTTGTATAACAATAGTATTTACGTAATGGAACATAACATAATATAAATTATTAGAAACCAACAACATTGACGTACTGGGCGGTTATTTGTATAACATAGTATTTATGTGATGGAGCATAACATAATATAAATTATTAATAAATCTAGTATAATTTTACTAGTGGAATATAGGATAGTGTGTAAGCAAATTTTACCCTTTGCTTGAATCTCCTTTCACTACTAAAAATTCGGCCAAAATCGACCGTGGCAAACCGACCGAAGTATATTTTATTTTTTAATTTTTTTTACGAAACCGACCAACTTTGGTCGGTATTTTGTTGGCGCAAAAATGGAGAAAATTATTTTGGCATCCCGCGAAATTTAATTTTTAAGAAACCGACCAACGTGGTCGGGTTTTCATATAAAATAGATTAAAATTAATATACAAAAAATCGATCGAAATTGGTCGATTATTTCAGTCGATCAATTTAAAAAATCGACCAATTTCATTCGGTAATTTTATATTTTAATAAAATCGACCGAAATCGGTCGGTTATTTTCATTCGAAAATGCAGTTAAAAAGTACAAATAAAATAAAAGATAGTCTTAAACCAAATTATAACAATGGTCTAGTGGTAGAATAGTATCCTGCCACAATACAGACCCTGGTTCGATCCCTAGAGAATGCATTTTTTAATTGCGTAATTAAAATTCCGATTGACTTCGATCGATTTTTTCGGTTTTTGATCGCTTGTGATATTTTATTGACCGAACGAAATTGGTCAGAAATTGCGACCGATTTCGGTCGCTATTTATTACTGACCAGCCTAATTTCGACGCATTAAAATCGATCGAAAATCAATCGATTTTTCCAATTTTGTAATCGATTTCGATTGGTATTTTGGACGATTTTAGGCAGTTTTCTAGTAGTGAATTTGGTTTAATCTCTCAAAATTGATTGCAAAGGTAGCATCTCATTGACTAATTAGCTGTCACTTCAAACTCACTTTTTATGATTATTATTTTCTAAAACAGATGGTTTGCTTTTCCTTCAAAAGCAAAAGTGATTCTTAATATAGATCAAAACGTAATTATTACAAATAATATTTGGCATATTTCCCTGAGTGTGACATAGTTTCCATGCAAATATTTAGATTTCACTTTCCTTTCTAAAGAAAGAAAAGACAAAAGAAATAATAGTGGGCTGTGGTCCTTAATTTGCAACATATTCCTTTTCTCAAATTTTTAAGATTGTCGGAATATTCATGAACTGGTCACATAAGTAAGAAGGGACTGAATAACTAAAAGTCTAAAACTAAATAGTAAGAAATGCAAATTCATCAGGCATCCTATTTAACCGTGGATTTTGAAATGCATTTCTTTCAAATAAGAACTATGAACATCTAATTTGGCAGAGGGAGTAAAAAAAAAATGCTAAATCCGTACTTTGTAACGTTTTTTTTTTGTTGAGAAATTGGAATAATTTATTCATACAAACTACATAATGTCTGGTAAAAGATCCAGTGGATCATTACAAACAGTTATTCTCTGATCTATATAACGTGCTAATATTTATTGGTGACCAAATAGCAAAAAGTTGAAAATTCTCTTGTCAGCTTAGAGGTTATTTTTTTATTTTATTTTATTATTTGTTATGTTATTATTTTATATATATATATATACATTTTTTTTTTTTTGCATTTTGTGGTTTATAGGAGTTGTCTTCTACTCCTAGGAAAATCCAGCTACTGTTTGGATGGCCGTGGCCCCCGCGGAGAAATGACAGAAGCCTTGGACATACATTTAATTTAAGTAGAAGATGTTAAAATATAATAAAAAAAGAAGAGAAAAACTCCTTCACTTAACTTTTATTCCACATTCATCGTTTCTTTTCTTTTCTTTTCTCCTTTTTTGAATTCTTGTAATTACGTGCGTATCCATTTCTGTTTTATTGTTTTATTCATCTTCTCTCTCACTCACACACACATACACAACAAACATTATCCCACTATAGGATGCCCAAGTGGTCATTATCTTAGCTAGAGTTTCCCTTTAATTTACGAGATCTCCTGCGATTTATGGAGGAAAGAAAGAACCATATTATTGTTACTTGATTGCCGTCAAATAATGATTATGTCCTAACAACCTTTAAAAAAATAAAATTGTATTATAAGGTGAATAAAACAATGAACGTTGACACATACAAGTAGGAAAAATCAGTCTGTTTTTAGTTGTATGACTTTGTAAGGTGAGAGATAAAAAATACTCGTACTAATTAGCAAATAGCTATGGAAAACCACCCATTCACTGAGCTGTAATGATGGGTACATGCGGAGTGGATACATAAATAAGATGATCTTTTAACCTTTGCAACGGACCCGGAATTTTCGTTAAGGAGTGTCAAAATATATAAAAGTAAATTAAGGGGAATTAATACATAATATATATACATATAATTTTTTTTACCTACATACACAATGTATTTTTCCCGCGAAGGGGTGTCACTGTTTGCACTCTCTCCTTTCTTTCTAAGATAGTAAAAGAATAACAATAACAACCCAGTATAATCCCACTTAATGGGGTCTGGGAAGGGTAGTGTGTACGCAGACCTTACCCCTACCGTGGGATAGAGAGACTGTTTACAAATAGACTCCCGGCATCCTTTCCTCCAAGAACTTTCCACCTTGCTCTTGGGGAGACTGAAACTCACAACCTCTTGGAGTAAAAGAATAACAAAAAAACCAAAAAAAAAAGAAGAGAGAGAGGGGGAAGAATAATGGAATAATGGAATAATCGATAAGATGTGCAAAAGTTAAAATCCGCAACTTGGTCTTACTTCATGACACACAAATATTTTTTTAAGAAAATAATAAATTTGGCAAATCCTACTAGATATTCTCGTTTAAGCCCGTAATTCGCTGTTACAACTTTATCGTAATTTCGTGGGTTCCTACGATGTCCTATTGTCCTAAATTTCTTTTACTTGTTGCAAACTGTAATGAGGGGCGGATTTTGGGGAGGGGTTCACCTAAATCCTCTTCGTCGAAAAATTATATTGTATATATAAAGGAAAAATTTATTTTTTATTTCTATAAATTATATTTTAAATCTTCTTGACTCAGCTCAAAATTATAACTTAGTGGTTAAGGAAGTTCAAAACTTTTGTACGATTGTTGGTTCAATTTTCACTGACTATAATTTTTTTTAACTTTTTTCTTTTTCGAACCACTTAAATAAAAATTCTGCCTCACGGACTCACGGCAACAAAGAGAAGGGAGTAGAAAAATTAGTTTTCCTCAGTCAAAGCAATAAAAGAGTAATGATTGACCCTGCTGACCTTTGTCACTTTCACCATCTAATTAAGGTACGGTAAAAAGTGATACTAAAGGGTTAAAATTCACAGTACCGAAAAAAATGTTACTCCATGATTAAAGTTATGATTAAAAGGAAGTCTTTCGGGAAAAAGGGAAAATGACTAATCCTAAAGTTGCTTAAGAATCAGTGTGGACTGTGGTTTCTAACTTTACAGCGCGCATGGAGCAGGGAACGCAATAACTCTTGCGTAGACCTTATATTTATATTAAAAAATTTATTAAATATTGGTAAATATTTGATTGTGAACCCAATTATTATTGCATATTAATTTGAAATTATGGTAGAAACCCATAAGCCTCAAATCCTGAATCCGCTTCTATGGAGCATCATAAGGTATAACAACTGAGCAGTACTAAAAGGAGGTAGTCAGACTTTTCCGAGTTCCTAAAATATATGCACTATATATATATATATATATATATAAGAAAATAAGAAACATTAATCAAATATGTAAAATAAACAAAGTGTAACACTCAAAATGCTTTATTGTCGAGCGACGGAAGCAAAATTTTTCACTAAGGAGATTCAAACTAAAGGGTTGGGAAAGGGGTTACCCCTTCCTCCGCCCACTTAAGCTTTGCCCCTACTGGAATCTCATGCTCTTTAGTAGGGGTGACAAATGGGCGGGTCGGATCGGATATGAGACAGATCGAAAATGGGTAATAAAAAACGGATAAATTATCCGATCCGATCCGTATTTAATATGGATAAAAAGAGATTAACCGGCGAATAATATGGGTAACCATATTATCCATGGCTTCTTGAATTTGATCACTTTTGGGAGAATTTGTACTCTTCTAAACTTGAGGAACCTCCAATTTAAGGTTTTACAAATGTAAAAGTTGAACCTATTAGTTATACATTAGAAAATGGATAATGTGATTCTTATTCATATATGACCTGTTTTAAAAAAATTAATTATCCAAGCCATTTTTTATTAATAGTATGAATAATTAACTGCTTTCTTTTAACCATATCGTCACCACCACTGCAAAATGACCTTATTACAGCCCCACCAAACTGACAAAACCCTTATCTTTTCCGAAAAAAAAAAACAAACTTCTCCCGTTAACTGCTTGCATTTCATATATTTAATTAATTTGTCCAAGTACTACTATTAAATATTTTCTGTATTTATTTAATCTGTATACCTATTTTACTTCCTAATGCAGTTTCTATATAAGCACGTCTTCCAACAAACATATTGCAAATTAAATTGCAGCTTAAGAGTTAGAACAAACTCATTTCACAACAAACTTGTTACAAAAGTTTCAATGGATACTCTGGATTGCGATGCGACGCCAATCATCAGAAGCGCGTCTTCTTCATGGAAAAATCAGCAACAGCAAATGATCAAGGACAGCTTAATGATGTGCAGTTTTGCCCCGGTCAGTAGCAAAGCTAATGTTTTCACTCCAATTCAGCAGCAATGTCATGATTTTGGTGATTCAAACGCGCCATCGGCCATGGTTCTTCAGGAATTTGGAGCTGCATTTGATCCAATACACGTCCTTTCTAGTTGGAACATCCCCCAGCGCCAAGAAGCTGCGACAAAATTGGCTGCGGATTCTGTCGCTGGTAAATCAAGAACAGGTCCAAGCAGGGATTGTACTAAAATAGGCCCGTCTTCTTTTCGTCCACAGAACAATGTTGTGCCTAACTTGGGTGATAGTCTATCGGCAGTTTGTGGCCTAATGCCAGATAATCTTGATTGCAATGGCCCAATCACAAAGAGCAGGTCCCTTGATTGCTTGCTCTCTGCAACCAATACAAGCAATTACACGGACACATCGGTCGAAGATGATGAAATTTCCATGATTTTCTCTGATGATTCCAAAAGACTGTGGAATACCAACACTGACAATTTTGCAGTTTCATCTGGAGAATCTGCAATCGATGCCTTCATCTTGAAACCCATCGATGCCAATGACAGCAACAATATTGAGTGCCCTGTTAATGAGACGGATCAACACAACAATCCAATAAGATCTTCGGAAGCAAAGCGTCACATGACCAAGAGAAGAAGATACAATCGTGCTCTGCTCCAACCAGGTAAGAATACTTAATGTGGGCTTAGGTGTTTGACTAAGCTTATAAATTGGTCAAACTGGCTTATAAGCACTTTTTGGCTTATCTACGCGTTTGGTAAAATTAAAAGTGCTTATAAGCCAAAAACCATAAGTTGGTCTCCCCCAACTTATCAAATTTTAGCTTATAAGCCCTTTAGGTTTGACTAAAATATTTACTATTCTATCTCTAAAATACTTCTTTTTAAAACAAAACTCTTTGTATACCCAATTCTTTAGCTGCTTATTATTAATTTCAGCACTTTTATCCAAACACGTAACTGCTTATTTTTTAAATCAGCTTCGACACTTAAAAATGCTTTTCAGCACCTATGCTTATCAGCTACTCTAAATCAGCTAAGCCAAACAGGCTCTAGATCCACTTACACCACACTTTTAAGACTTTACGTGAACCTATTTTATTTTTGGTATGTTCCAAACAGAATGATCCCTTTCTAAATTTGAAAACAATTTAGCTTAAACTTACAATTCTACCCTTAATGAAAATTGTTTATAACCACACAAATACTCTGGGCTCCTTTTTGACTTGTTTAGGACCACAAATTCCATAAGTCATTTTTTTCTTAAACTCCACAATCAAACATGTTGAGATAAATTGGAACGGAGGGAGTAATTATATTTTGGGGAGACCCACTGATTTTCCAAAATTTTTGAGTTATTAACTATGTTGACTTATAGTTTTCTAATGTAATTCTCATATGTATATTTTACTCCCTCCGTTCCAATTTATGTGAACCTAGTTCCTTTTTAGTCCGTTCCAAAAAGAATGATCCATTTCTAAATTTGGAAGCAATTTAGCTTAAACTTCCAATTCTACCCTTAATGACAAGCTTTTATAACCACACAAATACTCTGGCCCTCATTTTAACTTGTTTAGGACCTCAAATTCCAAAAGTCTCCATTTTTTCTTAAACTCTGTGCCCAGTCAAATAAATTCACATAAATTAGAACAGAGGAAGTATATTATTATCTGAATACACAAGAAAATTTAGTAGTTTGGCTTTGTATCTGAACCCTGTCAATTAAAATGGAAGGGAGGAATTATGTATTCAGAACATGCCACCTCACGTATGGGCTTAACTATTTTTCATGTGTCCAACTTACACAACCTTGATGTCATATATTGAAGTGTCTTAACTATCTTATTAGAAACTTTTGTTAGACCGAACACACTTTTAATTAATTAAGGAGTAATTATATTATGTCACTGCAGATTTGTCAACCAAAGACTCAGGTTTCAAGCTCATATCGGAAGACAAACCCAAGTCCAAGAAACTAAGATCAGAAAATACGAACATCAATTTCCAGCAATCTAGCTCGTCAGCATCTTCAGCAGATGACGAGCCTGATTCAGAAGCAATTACGCAAATGAAGGAAATGATTTATTGCGCAGCGGCATTCAGGCCAATGAGCTTTGGCACAGAAGTAGAAGCGGAAAAGCCCAAGAGAAAGAACGTAAGAATATCATCAGATCCACAGACAGTTGCGGCGAGACAAAGGAGGGAAAAGATAAGCGAAAAAATAAAAATATTGCAGAAGATGGTACCAGGAGGAAGCAAAATGGACACTGCATCTATGCTTGATGAGGCTGCAAATTATCTCAAGTTTTTAAGGTCACAAATTCAAGCGATGGAAGCTTTTGGCCATAAAATAGATCCATTAATTATGACTAACATTAGGTCTTTATCTTCAATACCATTCAACTATCCATTTCCCATGCAACCCCATTTTCCCATACAATTAGCTAATCCAGTTCAGCGTCCCTATAGTTGAATCAAAGAGGATAGGACAATGAGATCCAACTGTAAAATTCCTCACACTTTTGTTATTTGTGAAGGAGGTTAAGTTTTTGTTTTGCTTAAACGTTAATTGGACGGGGCCTATACAATTAACCATACGGCAGTACTAGTTAGGAGTTGATATGTACTCCCTACATTTCATATTAGATGAAGTAGTTTGACTCGGCGAGTTAAAAAAAAAAAGACTTTTGAAACTCTTGGTCTTAAAAACTTAAGGATAAAAGGTTTGTGGGGCCATGACATTTGTGTGGCTATAAAAACTTCTCATTAAGGATAAATGAGTAAAATGAAAGAGTTTAAAGTTAAATTATTTCCAAATTTAAAAATGTGTCATTTGTTTTAGAACAGACTAAAAAGGAAAGTTCCTCGTCTAATATGAAAAAGAGGAAATACTATTTTACTTGCACGGTCCTGGTAAGTAATGAGTGTGTGTAATTAGTACCTTCAATTTGGCTCCCAATGGGAAAACATTTAGCCTTTTATAGTGCAATTAAAAAATAAAAGAAAAACCATGATACCAATTACTCATCATATCATTATACCATCATGATATAACTATCGATTTATCAAAGCCTATCTTAATCGCATAAATATCCTTGATCCTTGTCATGAACTTATGATTGCAGCCTCAAATTATAATTAGGAAGAGTTAACTATATTAAAAGCATTATGATGAAACCCACGGTTGGCAGATTCCCCTTGAAGCTTAATTTGCTGACAGCGAAGATCCAAGAAGAAAGTGATTATATAATAATGAGGGATATGATTAAAATCTAGACCTTAAAAGTGATTAACACTTTATACCGTACGTGCAGATTTAATTGTAGAGGTGTTGACTTTGGTTAGTAAATAAAGAATATTGTAGGATATGGTCATGTTGACGTTGTTTACCAGTAAAACAGTATATTTGAATTTATACGTGATTTTTAGATAAGTGAATTAATTTGATCCTGAAATAATAAGAGAATTGAATAAATATGCAATACTTAGCCTTGAGATGAAGATGAAATAGCAAAAACAGTAGTTCCGGGAACAGGGCTTCCGAGCATAACAGTAATGGAATCAAAGAACCAAAGATAAAATTGTATAAAGCTTTGAATAAATTATAGCATAAGTCTGCTAGAAACTTCACGTCCCTTACAATGATAACATAGCTCACTAATTATAGCTGCACCTAGGGAACAAGGTCCTAGGATCATGCCATTCTTTAATGTCAATTATGAGGGCCATTGAAAAATATATAATGGCAGGAGTGTACTAAATGCTGTAGAATATTCTCCATTAAATGCTACCAGAAAACAGGTATTTATTGCATCTTTATGAGCATCCTTCTTTCTGGTAACAAATGGAACAACTGTCTTCGGTTTTAGCTATCCTCTGCCTTCGACTCCACGTGTCTCTCTTATGCAATTACTTAGCATATTTTATCCTATATAGATAGTCTCCCTACTTTCCGGTGACATAAGTTTGTGTCACCGGAAAGTTGGTAGAAACATTCTTTTTGGCAGAAATTTCTCTGACCCCCTCTGAAAAGCTTCTGACAGTTGATTAGATGCATGTATCTCCACACTTAATGCCCCGAACACGCATCATCCCACAATTCAACATAAATTTTGCCGGTTATCGAGGTAATTATGTCCACGAATTTAGCCGCATAAACCTTTACTTATACGCATCAACCTCCTATATTCACACCCCATAATTCTCCAAACTCTCTCAAACTCTCTTCATTAAATTTGTACTCTATTCTTCAACCTTTCTATAATTTTCCTCATACGAGAAAAGTTTTTCCTTTTTCTCTAACATATAATGGCTTCTTCTTCAACAAATATCAGCTCCTCGAATAACAAAAACAAAGCCGATGAAGCCGCTCCTCCTATAGTGAGCACCATCATCCCTAAAAGTCTTGTCACAACTAAAGACTTTGAAGAGAAATTTCCTTCTACTAACTCTCCTACATGGACCGTTAGCAGATATCCTTCTTTCATCCATTCTTCCAGTATTCCTCTATACATATTCCTTCACTTTGGGGACGCTCTCTCTGAGTGTATGGCTTGACTCTGCTATTGTTGTCACGACCCAAACTGATAGGCCGCGACGGGTACCCAGTACCTTACTCAATCGAGTACCAACATAATGTATCTTTTCGTATCATGCTATCATAGGTAAATGAGACGGAAAGGATGCCATAGGATAACTAGAATAAAATATGTAATACCAACTTATACATAAGACATACATGCCTATAAGACCAAAATGATCATTCATACACTAAACATAGGCCGACAAGGCCGTACAATCTTTTACGTATATGACATATGTCTACAAGCCTCTAAGAGTAGATAAATACCATAAAGGTCGGGATAGGCCCCGTCGTACCAATCAATACATGCACTAATCATACTGACCAAATAAGAAGCTCCAGAGCAAATGGACCGCACCAACACCTTCCGCTGAGCTAATAGCCTACTTGGAGGACTCTCAATCTGTCTATCAGGACCTGCGGGCAATGAACGCAGCGTCCCCAAGCAAAAGGGACGTCAGGACGAATAATGTATCGAGTATGTAAGGCACATAAATAAGTATATAAAAGACATGAAAGAAACATGGAGTAAATGACTCAACCTGTAAGTTTGGATAACTCTATAACTCATGAAATACTTATAGTGTCATGCATATACATATGAATGTCATGTCGTGCATAGGTACATGTGTTCATAACATCATCAAGCCTCTAAGGGCATCCCATCATATCATCTCGGCCACTGTGAGAAAAATCATCAACGTATACCAGCTGATCAAGTGGTGGTGCGTATATAACGCCATAACCTTTTCCCATATCCCATATACATATAATATACATATATACGTATATATAATGCCATCTGGTCATGGGTCAATGTACATGTATAAATGAATGGATGCATGAGAAATATGTCAACAAAATCTCTCGGAATGTCATAAGATCATTATGCCTTTGAATAATATCATAAAGTAAACTTTTTCAACATACGTATTTTCTGAGACCCATGAACAGAAGATGTAACAATAAGACACATGAGAATTCAAGAATATAGGTACCTCTAATACTTCTATGAATAGAGTTATTTATGGAAGTTGTGCATTTTCTCATTTCGTTTATATCGTATAGATCATGCCAAAAGGAAAGAAGAGATAGCCTTAACATACCTGAGCCTATTCTCTGGACAACCCCTTTAACACACGTCAATTGCGACAACACGTAACGACGGATCGAAGTAAGAAAAAATCTGTATGACATTCTTGAGAAAGATTGCACCGTACTCCCTTAATCACAAATCCCACATTGCTATAATATTAAGTAGCCTTTGTATGAAAGATTAAAGCCACTCACGTTGATAATGCAAATTCTTATCTTTGCTGAAGCCTTACATGTTACATAGTAGTTGTAAGCATCCAATTTTGTGAATTAGAGAGACTTTTAAGTATTGGTGGTGTGGGCCCCACTTTGTAAGACTTGGCCACCCAAAAATCTCTTAAAATGCCACCTATCTTCCTATATCAAGAGTCATTACTTGATTTTCTTATCCAACTTATGGGTTGCCACGTTGGAGCCTTAATATTATCCAAATAATTCATTAATTATCCACTAATCTTCTTGATTATCTTGTTAATCTCCCACTGATAGATAATTACCCAATTATATATACGTTTAAGAATTATCTCAAATTATTTAAAATCTACTCACTTTATACACCTTACTATCATGGTCATGTGGTACCTTATATCGCACTAGTCCACAAATACGGGGTATTATAGCTTAGACCATATTTTATCCCGAAATGTCAAACTTCGATGAAACTCATTTTCTTTGATTCGCTTACCCTCTCACCTTCATGAATTTACTTATCACTTGTTTGAAATAGCATAATACTTATAATCTCAAGATAATCTCATTCCCGAACTTACGTCGATTAACTTACGACGAAACTTTAACATACAAAAATGCGGGATATAACATCTCATTTTCGAGCTTATATCAATTTACTTATGGCGTACTTTCACGTACGAAAATATGGGGTGTAACAATTATAGAGTTTTGCCTCCGCTACCATGCCACCATGCATTATTATCTAGCGTGGATGATGATAACGAGGCTACCGTGCACTACTATCCAGCATGGATGATGATAACGACGGTGGGTGGTTGGAAATTTGTTTCAGTTTCCACCAGTGACATCATCCCAGCCTCGGCTCCTTCCTTTTCGGAATTATGGAACCGCACTCATAAGTATACAGTTTGCTTCTACTTTTGTTAAAGATCATTCCTCATCATTATTAACTTTTATTCCTTTACTGCCTTAGCGACTCAGTGGGTTCTCCCTAGGGTTGAGGGCTTGGACCAATGGGTTCAGAAAAATTTGGACGTTACTACACCCGAAACTCGCTCGTGGAAGGAGTTGTCCCTGAAATATAAGTGGAAGGTCATAAATCATGGTAAGTTGAACTCATCTCGTCCTTACCTTTTCTTATGAGAAAGTTGTCTAATTCTTCTCTCATGTTGAATATAGGTCTACCCAGGGCTCAATTGTCGTCCCCGAAGAGGACGTTTTGGCTAATCCTGCTGATGCACCACTTGATACCCAACTTTGCCCTCATATTTTCTCAAATAGTATATATAACGTTCAAAACATCATTTTTGCACCATTATTTAGTTTACAAATCTATACAAGCATTTTCTATAATTTTTCATAATTTTTACAGCTTTCAAATTGATTTTCTTGCATTTAAATTACTTGAATACTTATTAATTACTCCTTTAAATTATTTTGTGGTAACTTAATTACCTAAACTTATTTTTTGCACCTACAATACATGCTTCAAATATATTTACTCTATTTCTATATAATTACATTAGTATTTGTAAGCCATTTGCACAATCTTACAACAACAGCCTATATTTTACAATTTATTGCATTTGTCATTTTATCCAAGGTCAAAATAATATCTTACATTTTTATAATCTTCTACTAAGTATTCATTTGCATAAATAGCATTTTTATATTTTGTTTAACTATTTTTTATTAAATTATTTTCCCTTAATTTCCTATTTTAAAA